TTTGTGCCTAACGCTAAACCTGGGGTAACAGCTACATTCTCTGCAACGAGATCATCCGAAATAATTCAGCACGACTTCTCAGGCAACCAAACCAGTGGCGTTTTTGAATGGCTCTGATGCTAAACTCCTTGTCTGAATTAAGCGTGGAATTTAAGCGCAGAAGCCATTTCTTGATTTGCGAACATTTATTTGGGATAGGCTTTGTATTCTACGGCTATTGACATATAATTAACAAAGCTTTCTACTGCGTGAGGGACCAGTTAGGTCAAAATCTAAAGAAAAAACAAGATCCGATGATAGGTTCCTGCTTCTACCGCCCAAATATTGCAAATCCCTAAAATTTCCTTTGATAAACAGGTACAACAGTAACTTACGGGAAGAAAATATCCTTCCTGTACAGTGGTCTGGCATAGTCTTCCACGGTTATGCTCTCATGGGGTAGTTCCACAATTACAGGAGCCCCGTCAGCAAGTTCTAGCGTCGAAACTATGCCTCTGATTTCTGCGTTTTCAATACCGCCTGCCGCGGAGGTGAAAAATTGAGAACCAAGAGCACTTAAATGGCTTTGCGACAGCACTGACATAGCAACCGATTCGGCTCGGCGGCGCGGCACAGAGGCGTGGGCCAGATGCACCACCGACTGCCGTGGAATGGGCTTCAATTGAAACCTGCTCGAGTGACATTCCGATTGATGCGTTCGACGTTGCTTCTTGTGTGAGCGGATTGATGAGACTGGCCGACCCGAGTAATCTTATAAATGTTTTCAACAGTAAAATGTGAGTTAATGACCATATTTCTGTTTGTAGAATACTAGAAAGGAATCCACCGATGAAGCACCAAACTAAAGCCTTATTTAATATAAAAATATCGACACTTTTAAGGTCTCACTTAACAATTTTAAGTACAAAACGTGCCCATTCAATCGCTCACTTTGCCTCACAATTTATCTACCACGCAAAAAAGAATAAGGGCCCTAAGGTAATCCACACCTACAGACGATATCATTTTAAGGGCATTGCTGTTTTAAGATGAAGAAATAAAGAAAACCTATGAAAATCAGCTGTTTTATGGGATACTTTAGCCGCTAATTCGTACTTCGTTGATGGAGCGCAGAATATTGCATTGGTTTGTGGCATTCAGTTCTATCAGTGTACGTTCGCAGAATAGGCAGCGTGTCATTGTGCAAATAACCGTCTTGCAGCAACTAGAGGTCAGGCCTTTTAGTGATGAAGCCACGCACAAAACTACCCATTAACAACTTACATGCCACAAACTTCTAAGCTCGTTAACACTGATTTTTAAATTTGGTGCATATATGCTGCCAATCAATTGTAGGAAAAAGTTTAAATTCATAAGCAATAACGCTTTGAGCATTCCGAGCAAACCGCTTACCTTTACTGTGCCTGTCAAGATTGGGGGCTGAAAGCACACACTCAGAAGCGGATGGTGCTCTGTACGGAGCCCTTATGACCTTGCCTGCATTGTCACCCAAGTTTCTGACGTTGGGTGAAACCCCCAGGTTATTGCAGTCACTGCTCACAGCCCTGTGACGCGTCGACTTAATTGGTGGACGTAACTAAAAAAACCGATCAACACCTCTTGGCCGTCTGAAGCAACATCAAGATCTAATTGATGGGGTTACTTACGCTTATGAGCAATTTGGTGTTCATGTCATAAATTTGTGCAAAATCACTAAACATATATCTCCCTTCCACATTCGATAGAAACTACGGTGGGCATTCCACACGGCATTTGAACTCGCCTCGTTCCAATAGCGGGTAATTTTAGATCTATGTGGCATTCAAGAGATGCGTGCATGAACGTCAAGACAAAACTTGTATCATTTAGGACTGATCCAACAGAAAAGTAGACTGAAGGAAGTGTTACTTCGAAAACATCTAACTATAATACATACTCGGCTATTTTTAGAAAAATTACAGCGCTAAGGTGGGTATTGAGTATAAAAATCCGTGTGTTGTGTCCTAAGTGCAACACATGGAGGCTCAAAAAACCGCATTACCTTTTCTTGTAACTTATTAGCATCTTGCGATTCAAGCGTCCCAAGTAGTTCATTTGGGTTAACGCCATCAGCTCCCTCTACAACCTCAGCATCAGAAGAATCCCAATGTGAGTTCTCTTCGTCACACGATGATCCGCAGGTTGAGATGCTGGACTCAAAGCCCGATGAGTCGCTGTCGTCGGCGTCGTCATCAAACGCCACGTCATTTTTGTTCTTTGAGCCAAATAACAGCCGAATCCCCTGGAGCCAACGACTGTACTGCTGGTTGAGGTGCCGTTGCCATGTTTGACGATGATCTCTGCGCCTACGATGGTGGTGGTGATGGTGGTGGGGATGAGAGTGACTTTTGGCCTCCACAGCCTCATCAATCTCTTTTTCCTCTTTTCCGCCACCACCAGCCTCTTCATGGTAGATTTTATCGTCCGCTTCTTAAACATAAAAAAAGGTTGTGCCACAAGCACCAAACGATTTGTTAAATATTTAAGTGCCTTATGGTGTGACCTAGACTTTAGTTCTGCTGCAGGATCGTATGAGAAAACAGGATTAGGAATGAAATTGCTGGAGCTATCGTACTAAATGCTAAGCGCAACCCACGGGACTCCACATGCCAGGACTAATAGCAAGCGTCGATCAGGTTAGTCCACTATCACCAACTCAAGGCCATCGACTTCC